TGGGGCTCCTTGCTGGCGGTGCAGTGGTACCCCTTCTTCTTCAGCAGGTTGCACACCAGGATTCCCAGCAATCCCATGGCACAGAAGACCGGGACGATGGTCAGCACGGCCTCCTGCGCCGCCGCCGCCTCCTCCTCTTCCTCTCCCCTCGGAGTCACCCGTGTCCCGTTGGTTCCCAGTGCCCGTCCCGGCGTTTCGGGGCTGCGGACCCGCCGCCGGCCTGGGGGGGAGGCACCGGATCAGCCTCAGGGAGCGGCTTTCCTGGGATTCAATCCCATTTTCCCAGGAGCCCTGCTGCAGCTGGAGCCCAGGGAAGCAGAAGCCGTTCCCAGCTGCCACATCCCGGCAGGACATCACTGCTCATCCCAAGGGGGGCACATCCTGCGGCGTCCCGGGGGCGAACACAAGCTCTGCCGTCCCTCCCGAACCCGGGTGGCACCGGCAGCTCCAGCACCCACCTGGGCACCCCGGGGTGCTGCGGGGGGCAGCGGCGCAGGGCAGGCACCGGCCCCGGGGGTCCCTCTCCCCTTCGGGGCTGTAAAACCTGCGAGGCGGGAGGGCAGGAGGGTCAGGATCCGGCCGGGAGCGGGGTCGGGGGTTCCCGGTGTCCCGTCCCCGGGCTCACCCCGGCAGGCAGGCTCCGCACCGGCTGTCACTTCCCGCTGTCCCCGCGGCCACCAGGATCCTGTTCCCGGCCCGGCACCGGGTGTGAGAGGCACAGGGTGTGTCCCCCAGGGAGAAGGTGCCGGGGGGACAAGCTCGGCACGTCCCCCCTGGATCCTGCGGTGAGGGAGAGGGCGGTGAGCCACGGCTGGATCATGATCCATGTGGATGTGCCGCAGGGGGCACGGCTTACCCCGCTGGGCTCCTCCCCGGGAGGGCATCCCGGTGTCCTGTGCTCCCGGGAATTCCAGCTCTCGGCCCCCACGAGTCTGCTCAGCACCTGTGGGAGAAGCAAAGAGCTCAGCGCCGGCTGGTCCGGCTCTGCCGCTGCTCCAAGGCCTGTGCCAGTGGGAATGTGGCTCCAGGGGAGGAGGAGGGTGATGAGGTGGAGATGAACCCATCACAGGCCACGTGGTGGAGGCAAAACTGTGCCCTGGACTATGGCAGATGCAAACTCTTCACTGGTGACATGATGGGGGCAAACCATCATCAATGATATGATGGTCACAAACCCATCCCAAATGCCAACCCATCACATGATGGATGCAAATGTGGCCCCAGAGATGCCACTTTCCTTATCAGTCCCTGCCCTGGAAGAAGATTTGATGAAGAAGAGGATCGGGAAGAATGTGTGCATGTGGGGGGGGAAAAACCCTCAATCCAAACTGAGCATCTCCCCAAGTGCTGCAAGTTTCCAGGTGGGAAGTGTTTTGGGATGCCCTGCTGTGGCTGTGGGGTGGTGTTTGAGCATCAGAGGTGCCAAAGGCAGAGAAGCACAAGGATGGGCTGGGAATGGATGGGCTGGGAATGGATGGACCAGGCCATACTCACCCCCAGGATGGTGACGAGCCACCAGCGCATCCCGCTCCTCTTCATCACCAGGGGACACCTGTCCAAGGGGGAGGAGCACGGGGGGGGGTCATCATCCAGGGAAAATCCCAGTGGAGAAGCAATTTGGGGGCCCTATTTCCCCCCACTAGGATGCTCTAAGGCATCTGCCTAAATATCCCTGCACCATCCCCCAAAAAAGCTTTATTGGAGGATTTATGGGATGCCTGGCATCGTCAGATCCCAACTCCATCCCAAACTGGAGAGGGACCAACCCCTGCAATGGAGTCACACCACCCATGCAAGGAGCAGATGACACTAAAGGAAGGTTTTCCCTGCTCCGGAGGAAATCCTTGTGCACCTGCCACAAGGAAATTAAGTCACTAAAAAGGAAATAAATATATATTTAAACACAAACTGGAGTGGAACAAAAGGTGTTTCCCACAAGAAAATATAAAATTAAAATCTAAGCTGAGAGCACAGGGGATGGGGGAAGGAAGGAAAAACACAACCAACAACCCAAACCCGGATCCAGGCTCCACATGGAAATCCTGCCACCCGCATGGAAACTCCCCCGGTCGTCACGGTCCTTGGGAGCCTCGGTACAGCCTCTGCCTGACGAGTTTGTACTAATTAGTGGCCTGAGATGCAGCTCATTAAACATGAGAGGGGGTACTGGGGGCGCTGAGCCAGGTATTTATGGGATGTGGGTTGGGACAACCCAAAATGAGCATCCTCTGTGCTCCAGTTCCTCCCCCCATCAGGTGCCAGCATGGAGCCAACCAGCCCACCTCTGGAATCCCCCCAGCATTTGGGATGTGCCCCTCAAGCACAGAGGGAGAAAAACTGTAAGACAGCACTAGTAAAACTTGAGTTCAAGCCTAATGTGAAGCATTTTAATCCTCTGGGGCTGTGGGATTCAAGCACCTCGGGAACGATGCCACAGGCTGGCACATCCCAGGCTGCCAGAGCATCCCGGCTCCCCTGAGAATTCCGGATGCCCACAGGGGGATTTAAACCCCACCAGGAAGAGGGCTGGCCCCAGGTAAAGCAGATCTGAGGCCAGGCTTAATCCAGGGATTAAGGACATCCCTTAGGTGACCAGTAGGGATGTAAGAGGCACAAGGATCAAAGGGTGCCAGCTCCTGGTTGGCACCGGAGCTTTGCCGAGTCACGGCCACCCCAGGGCTCATCACCCGGTTTTGGGGGCCTCCAGGGGCCATCCCAGGTGGGGATGTGGGATGCAGGATCATGGGATGCCCGGCTGCCCTGGTACAGCAGCGAGAAGCCCTGAAACTCCTAAATCCAACATAATTTGTCCCTCTAAAAACCACAGGAAACCAAAAAATAACCCCATCGGGGCCAGACCTGCTTTTTGAGGACCTCCAGCACCCCCACGCCCCACCTGGCTGGTGCATTGATGCAAACACAGCAGGAAAGGTGACTAGGTTTTGGAACCCTCCCCCAAAATCCCTCTGGGTCACAGAAGCCTTTTATTCCCATTCCTGCTTTAATAGAGCCTGTAATCCAAGGCTGCCCTCTGGGATTCCTGGGTTTCCCCCCCCATGCGGGAACAGGGTTTCAGCCGATGGCTCCTGCAGATAAACGGAGCTAGAAAGGAGCAACTGTTCGGGAAAACTTCGGGGAGCAGCTCTTGGAGGCAGCGCGGGACAAGGAGGGGATTGTCCGGCAGATGGAGCGAAACTCGGCGCTGTCGCCTCCCCCGGGGCCCCCTCGGAGCTGTGGGAACAGCGGAACCGCCACAAATATCCAGCATTAAAATCCACTGATCCCAGAGGCAGCGCTGGGA